TACCCAATTTATTTTTCCACTAACTACTCAAGTACTCATGTTGCAACAGAGTTCTCTTTCATTCTCTTATTTTTAATAGTAAAGTTCTATCATGTTTAAATTTGGTTATTGTGTCATAAATCCTACATGGAACCTTTTAGTGTAACTTTTAAGAACATTTTCATTACTAATACTAATGAAATATCATTCAAATTGAAATTCAGTTCACTCAAACCTTTTAAACTGTAAAAGGCCATTTAATTTGAGACCGTGGGAGTAATTAAAAACCAAACCCCATAGACATGGAAACTACAATTTTACCTGCAAGTCCAAGACGTTGTAATAATTTCCAGCTTCATCGGTGACAAAAGCCACATCTGGGGAATACCTCCACTGTCCATCAACTATAAATCTGTACCGATAAACTCCAGAAGGGAGCACTTTCATGATGGTGAAATCTTTTCCCGACCTCTGCAAAGGCTTCCTGATAAAAGAGTTTATAGAGATCTAAGTCCCTTGCAACCATAAAGCAACAAAATAAAAATGGATGGTGAAAGAAACTGGCACACACATATACCTTGTTTTCCAATCGTCCCAAGATCCCTCCACAGAAACTTCGTTGCCGCCACGGCTCCAGATTATTACAGTTGGAATTCTTTGCTCATCGAGTGTATCATCAAATCCAGATGCCGTTTGCACCCATGGAGGGGTTGGGATGTTCAACTCATCTGGTCTTTGTAGAGGAACCACAGGCATCTATAGCAATATTTGCAAGCAATTGCACAAAATCAGAATGGATGTGAGAAATTATTCTGCAATACAGCATGATATAGATGAAAAATTGAACTTTAGAACCCATTGTGTAGACTATCTCTTCTTTGTTTTAGGCTTATCGGTCATTTGCCCTTGCCAGTCAGAAATTAAATTTGGAAACGATCCTTGCCTTATTGATTTGAATTTTCGAAAACTCATAAGTTGAACTAGGGGGTAGGACGAACATTCTGATAATGGGACACAGTCTATCCACAAACACCACTAAACTGGCACACCTAAGGATTAACATCAATCCGATAAAGATTAACAACGTACGAGTATATATTTATTTACTCCAGATTTAAAAGATCGAAACACAGAAAAATGGTGAATAATATTCCACAAAACAGTAGATACTACAAATTAGAAGAACCTCAAATTTTCACTAAGCTTCAGTAATACTCTGTGGGAAAAAAAGGCATCCGATTCTTTCCAAGATTCACAAAATTACAGAGACAATTGTACATTTTAGCAATAGATCCATCATTTCATAATTTCTAATTCCGTTTTTCCATCGAACAAATCCTACAAATTCAATTCATAGACTCCTGTCGTTTTCACATCCCAGATCTAACAGTGATTTTCAGTTATACCAACTCCTGCATATACGATTCAGAAACCTACAAGAACCGCAATTTGGAGAAGAATTAGGTGGGCGGCATTCACCGTAATTTTATAAAATCCGATGTCGAGCCCGGGCTTCCATAGCCAAATTCATCCAAAAGTTTGTAATTCTACGGCTAATTTCAAAAGTAACATGCCAAATCACTCCGGGAATGAAAGATCACTGTAATAATTATTCTAATTAAAAAATAAACACTAATGATTAGCATATGAACAAACCTGAGGTCGGAACATCAGAGGGGAGCGAGACGCCCTAGGGCTGGAGGGGGGAGACTGGCCCATGAACTCGCCGTCCATCTGCGCGCTATCCTGCGTCGCGCCGTCACGACCGCCGCCGGCGGCCTCTTCAGCTCCGGACGGACTGTGGCCATTGGCGTCGTCGTCGTCTTCTCTCCCATTGACATTTCCCATTTTATTTGAGCACGAAAAGGCAAGTCGAATCTGTACAGTGATAATGTGATATTCCTTTGGCCAACCCATGTGTTTGTTATATAATCCCTCCTTCCCAAAACTACGGTCACCGTACACAATTCATATTATTTTTATTTTTATTTTTTTAAATAAAAACTATGGTGTTTATAATTTAAAAATACACAAAGTATTCTTTAAAACTACAAAGAATTATTTAACACAATACATGATATGACATTATTATCTTAATAAATAACTAACAAAATAAGCGATGAAAGAAAAAAATTGTTGAATACGGAGTAAATGAGTAACACTATTTTGGAACGAATAAAGCATTGTTTACCTAATATTTACGTGTCTTTTCTTATACTCTGTACTTATAAGAAATTATTCAAATAGAAGTAAAACATACTGAGTAGTGTTTATCTACAAAATAGAAAAAATATATTTTTAATTTTAAAATAAAATTATTACATTCTGACAATATAAAACTTTTTATAGTACCATTGTTTTTCTAGTACGAACTGTCATATCACATCTTCTTTGAAATTATTTGGTACAAAAGTGCATAAAATTTGTAGTTATGTACTTTGATGGTAAATTCTTCCCATTTGACCGTTATAATTAAAAGTTTTGTTATTTTCACCAATCAAAAACAACAAAATTATTTTGGGAACATCACATTATCCGAAATATACCCTAGTAACGGTTGCAATAAATTTTAGATTAAATAATAATAATTTTTTTTATATTTATATAAAAATTACTCCCTAGTTGTGGGTAAGAAAAACTTTTATTTTTAAGTTAAATAATTATAACCTTAGTTGTTATTAAAAACCGTTAGCTTAGGTATATTTTTATCACAAAAAAACAATTTTAAAAAATATCAATACTAAAAAAATTTTAATTTGTTTATTTTATGACATCAATGTATTTGTTATTTCTTTGTTTAAAATGCATATTTTACTTCAAAATATTATATTCATTTTAATTTTAAACTTTTTATACGTGTTTTGTAACATTTTAATTTTAATTTTAATACGCACTTATAAATTTATAAATACCTTTTTTTAAATATAAAGTCTAAATAACGGAAGATTTTTATTTCAAAAATGTATTACATTAATAAAACTATAACTAAGATAATGAGATTTTATAACAACTAAGATAATGATTAGTTAAGTTAGAAAGAGATTTTAATAAAATATGAAAAAAAATTAATGATTTTTCAATGTAAAATTTAGTATTTATGTTAGCAAGAGAAAATTTAGCAAACAAAAGATTTATAAAAATACAATTAAAATCCTTCTTTAGTCCAAGACTATTTCTCCAATTTTGAATATTTGTAGTCAACAAAGATTGATCTTTGACTAATAATTAAATAAAAATCACGTGTGTGTGTGTATGTGTGTGTGTGTGTGTGTATATATACTACGTATATATATATGTGTGTGTGTATGTATGTATATATATATACACACATACACAGATATATATATATATATATATATATATATATATATATATATATATATATATATATATATATATATATATATATATATATATATATATAAGAAAACATATTTTGAAAATATTTTACAACGTAAGTTTAAGAAGATTCTCCTTGTATTAGTATATATAGTTAAATATGTTATTAGTCTTTGAGATAGGCGACATTTGTTTTTTTTCTATAATTTTTTTGTTAAGTCATCATCANTTAAACTTACGTTGTAAAATATTTTCAAAATATGTTTTCTTATATATATATATATATATATATATATATATATATATATATATATATATATATATATATATATATATATATATATATAAGAAAACATATTTTGAAAATATTTTACAACGTAAGTTTAAGAAGATTCTCCTTGTATTAGTATATATAGTTAAATATGTTATTAGTCTTTGAGATAGGCGACATTTGTTTTTTTTCTATAATTTTTTTGTTAAGTCATCATCAGAAAAAAAATTATATTAAAAATAGTCTTTAAACATCATTCCACTTCTAATTTGTTGAAATAACATATTTATGTTGTACTAAACATCACGGTCTTGCATTTCTACTACATTTGACATGATTCTCAAGCCCTTAATTGTGTTCTTATTCGTATTAGATGTTCAATTTCATAATATTTTAAGAATATAGAGATCTTTTATTTTTTCAAATAGTTCATTTAATCTATAGTTTCACAAATGAGTATAGATATTAAAGCCCACTGTAGCATATAAGTTGTGTTTCTTTTGCCCCGTCCGAATTAAGTTTCTATTTTCAACAGATTTAAACAATTCACTGATTTCACTCTTTATCTTTTATGAGCTACAAATTTAAACCATTCAATAAAAGAATAGATTGGGAAGTAGTACTCCATAAGGAAAGAAAGAGAGATGATGATATCTTATGTAGATTAAAAAAAGGACCCTGCTAGGGTAACACCACATGGGTGCTACCATGGGTGCACTCATGCTTCGCACAGACAAACACAGACGATAATTGTCTGTGTGTCTGTGCAAAGCATGGGTGAACCCATGGTAGCACCCATGTGGTGGCACCCTAGCATTTTCCTTAAAAAAAATCATTTTCACTTCCTCTCATTTTACCCCAAATTAGAGGGACTAAAACTAAAGGATGTATAACATCTTTCAAATCAATCACCCTTTATATAGTGGGTGTTTCTCTGTATTTATAAGCTGGTAAACTGTTTATAAATATTTTTTAACTTGGTCAAAACTAATGACATGTTTTTGTGTGTTTATAAGCTGCTTATAAGCCAAAAAAAATACTCTGTAGGTCTTAGCTACTTATTTTTAAGCTAGTTTTTTTATTTCTCTATTTTGACAAGATTATTAAAAAAATTGTCCCTCATCATTTATGAATATTTACAAATGATTTATCTATCATTTAAGTCATTTTAATTTAACGAAAGAACATTTGACTTATAAGCAGTTTATAAGTTAAAAACTACTCCGTAATTATCAGCAATAAGCCAATAAGCACCACCACAAAGAAACACCTACATACTCTCAAAACAGACAAAGAAAAATCATCTTTTACCTCTCCCCTTCCCCTCAATCCAAACGCACTCTTAAAGGGTTGCCATTAATTCAAAAGATGAGGTAAGGGGACTTATTTTGACGATAAAGGGGAACTGATAACAACAAATAAAGTTTTATTAAACCTTTTCTTGATATGTAGTATAAAAAACATGAATATATCCAAATACATCTTGGTAGGAAATAAAACCATACTTTGAGCAACAATGCCTAAAGACTGTATATACACACCTAAAGATGAGGTAAAAATGACTTACTTTGAAGTGTGGATGTTTTGCACATAGAGAGATAGTCTCAACTTAGTAACACTTCGGGTTCGCACTAGCAGAAAATAAATCAGAAATGTCAAGCTAATACAGCTTCAAAAACTGTCAAATGGATTGACAGAACAAATCCTCCACTACAAAAAAGAAAGACTACTCAGGCAGATGGAGATTAATGCTGACCTGAATTATAAGTTATCACCGCACGCCAGTCTGAACTTCATGCAGACATGGGACGCACCCATATTTGCACATCAGCCCTAGAACTTGCTCAAGTTTACTCTTTTCGCCCCATCTTGAGTACGCTTTATACATTATCCACAATGTTTTCTTTGTCTTGTCAAGGTTCACTTTCTCCATCTCGCCGAGAACATTTTCCATCTCTACAAGCCTCCTGTTTGAAGAATACATAACCATCTTACAGTGGTAGAGAGACCTGCAAATTTTCCAGCCACAACACTCGGCACGTTTCACAAAATTAGAGAGCTTGTCCATTGCACTGTTCCGGTAGTAACACGTGACAATCCTTTTCATCACACTGTTTGTTATTATGGAGGTGTTGTGCTCAAATGCCTCATTGATTGAGGTGTCCATCTCTTCTATCAGATTTTCTTGTGCGTATAAAAGTATCAGCTTGATATTCAACCAAGGACGGTAGTCATTTTCCGGAATCAACTTCAGCAATTCCTTGACCTTTGAAACTCGATTCATAACAGAACTTTTGCAGTAAGCCAAAATCATTGTCCTGATCAATGGGATTTCATTGTGATCAACGTGATCTTTGACCAGCCTATAAGCCTCCTCCATCTTTTCCAAACTACCTGCATGGGCATATCCCCTAATGATCAATAAATATGTAGTTAGGTTCGGCTTTGTGATGCTTTCTTGCATGATTCTGTAAGTCTTCTCCATGTAATCCCACTTCCAAGAGGTAAGATACCCAGCAATTAGATAGTTGTACGTAGCCGCATTAGGTGATATGTTTAAATCTTTAACCTTGCGAAAGGTTTCTTCCATGTGATCCACCAGCAATAAACGCCCGAATACAGAAATAAGAATGTTATATGTTACTATTGTCGGACAACACGTTCCCTCCTTCTTCATGTCCTCAAATACAGATTGGCATTTCACAGCCAGCCCATTATACATATATGCACTCATCAGTGCATTGTACATAGAAGTTGTCTTGACTTGCTTTTCGGCAGCTTCGCTGAAGATATGTGCAGCAAGATCAACATCTTTCATCCTACCCGCCGTACAAATTCCCTTGGAATACTCCTCTGCTGCTAGAGGAGTTACATAGTCTATTTCTCTTCTCCAATTGAAAACCTACAGATCACCTCAAGCAAATCCAAAAAAAATCCTCAATCAAATTGTTACTTTGATATACTCGCTTTGGATTTCAAGAACAACTTCGAATTCGATAGACCAAAATGAGTGAGGAAAAGAACCTGGATGGCTAGCTGAGGGGACGACGAAGCGAGCTGTCTCATGAGCTCAACAGTAGCAGAACCATTGGGGTACTTTCGGAACAAGGGATTCCCTTTCTCTTCCAAGACCTTATGGAACTTCTCAACATCGCCGCCGTGCACCACCAGCTCATCCCGCAACTGGGAGATCTCATCTCTCAGATCATCCATGAGTAACGAATCGCCATGGCTCCAGTTGCCCGCGAACAGACCAGCGATGCTAGGCCACACGTGTTGGGAAGACGATGACGGCGAGGAAGAAGAAGAAGAAGAAAACAATAGCGCGGCGGTCCCGGAAATCGATGAAACAGCAGAGGGTTTTGCAGGAATTGCAGAGAATTTGTGGAAGAACAAATCTTGGTATGAGAATTTCAACATCCGCTTCATGCTCGAAGATTTGCGCGGTTTAACATTGGGGATGGAACGCGTGAATTAGGGTTTTTGATGCGATTTTTACACAATCTGGCAAATGCAATTCGTTATACGAAGGTTTAATCGAGGGAATGGGAGCAATTTATCTTCCTTTTCTGGGAGAGAAATGGGTGACCACAGGAAGAACAATGGTGAAATACGAAATTAGGGCAGATTTTCCTGTTTTTCATTCTAGAAAAAGAAAAGGGAGCAGAAATAATTTCTGTTGTTTAATTACAGAAAAAAGGAAAAGAGAGAAAATAAATAGATTTTTATTTTTGAAAGCAAAGAAAATGAATTAAGAGAAAGAAAAGTGTGTTTCTTTCCATTTGAGTGAGAAAAATCAGAAATTATTTTTCAAGAGTAATCACAATTGGTCAACTTTTCGTATTGTTTAGTTGGCATTTGATTGATTTCGTTGTTTTTCCATAGTTTTAAAAATGGGATCAGTCTGGCCGGTTCGACCGAGAACTGGCGAACTGGAAGTCAAACCGGTCTAGTCCAACCCCATAGACATTATTAGTTAGTGAAATTTGCACTGAATAGGAATAAAACATAAATCATTTTCTAATGTAGGACTTAAACTTTTTTATTCCCTAAATAGGACTTAATAATGACTACTGTGAAAAATAATGTCCAAGTGATGCTAGATATTTAGTTGAATAATGACTAATAGACAATGATCAATGGTCCTACATTGAGAAATAAAAACATATAGTTCTATATTGAGAAAGTCATTATGTTTTAGTCATATTTATGTAAATTTCCATTCCTATTAGTTATATTACATTCTTAAAAATATACAAATATACATATTCTAGAAAGACTTTATTTTTAAAACAAAAATTAAAAATATAATGTTGAAACTGTGATTCAAATTCTAAAATATTGATGCAATTGATTCTACTATAAACTTCATATCACAAAACTATTAACTCGTTTAAATATTTTAAAATATTGTGTAATAAATAACAAAATAACTATATATATACACACACACACATATATATATTGCATTCTCTCTCTCTAAAACTTATACTCCCTCCGTCCTTAAATAAAGTTCTTCTTTCGTTTTTTCTTTGTCCCTAAATAAACTTCTCTTTTCCCCTAAAAAACCTCTTTTACCCCTTACTTTTTCATACCCTACCTATCACATCATACCTTTTTACTAATAATCTAACTATCACATCTTATTTTCACACATCACATCAAGGGTATTTTTGGAAAGTTAACACAAAAATATCCCTCCCTTAAATCCTCAAAAAGTCAAAAATGAAACTTTATTTAGGGACGGAGGGAGTATTATTCAATATACTCGGTGGTTTATAGCCATCAATCAATCAATATAGTGAAGAGATAGTATTTTTATTAAAATATTTCATCCTTATAAAATATCAATGTTAAGCAAAGAAATAATGTCTTTTCTGCATCTTGTATAATGCTAGATGTGCTTGACAAAAAAACGTTGTATGCTATAAATAATACATTGCATAAAATGTTACACACTCATATTCTCTTCAACCCCCCATCGAATATTTCTTTTTAACTTGTTTCTAAACTTTATTCTTTTTCATTTTTAAGAGAAAAAATTGTGCTTCATATCATTTTATTTTCCATACATAAATTATAATCACACAAAAGTTTTATTTTCTTTCTTCTTATATAATTTCAAGAGAAATTAAATTTATTTTTTGAAAAAATCGTATCAAGTGAAACAAGTAAAAAATATGGAAATTTAAAACAACAACAACAACAAGAATAATAATAATAATAATAATTCTTGATTTGATCTAGTTTGATCTGTTTGGAATCTGATCTGATCTGATTGGATTTGATCTGATTTTAATAAAAATAAGAAAAAAGTAGAAAAAATAAGTTGAACGGAACATGGCCTTATTCGAATATGTTGCAATTTCTTTGAATAAGTGAGGACATTTGTCATTGTCAAAACACAAGTGTCAAGAATTATTACAATTATACTATTATTGTTATTGTTATTATTATTAATTATAATAAATTTGCAATACTCCATAATTATATTTTCTTTAAAAAATGATATTAGCTTGTATTAAATTTTAGTTTCTTAATTACTTCATTAAATGTTTACAAATCAATTTATTTACAGAGTATATTTTGTAAAAAATCTATCGACATTTACATTTTGTAAGGAGTCTAAATCAAGAGTGCAATACATTTCGGTTGGGCGAGATCATCTTAAATAATAATTCCTCTATCCTAAAACATCATTCAAGTTCGATTTAAGAAGTTTGATTAAAATTATTTTTTTAATTCAATTTATTTGATTATAAGTTTAAAATAAAAAATTAAAAAGTATATTTGTAACACTTCAATCCGTCCAGGTCTGCAGCCTCTTTCAGACTAAAGTATAAGTTTGGTATTTGTAAACATTCAAAAGGTTTCAAGCATTTTAAAACTTTATTTCATAATAAAGTATTGAGAATAATAACAGAGTAGTTAATGTTGCGGAAGCTGAATAAATAACAATTACAAAACATAATAATATTATGTCTTTTTAAACTTTAATTCATTTTACACATCCACTTTGACCATCTCGCTCCGTCTTCCGCCAGGATTCCATCACATCATTCTTTTTGTTTACCTGCGTGTGGCAAATAAAACATACTACACGCTCAGCGTTGAAGCTGAGTAAGCATATCTAATGCATCGAACATCCATATAAATTGAATCTCAATTCATAAATAATCATTTGATATCATGCACACAATACATATTTCAAGCTTACATTATTCATAATATTCATAATATTTTATTTTAAGTCATCTCATGATATATTCAATATTCAAAATATTTCATCAGTGCTCTTAAATTATTCTTAATCTAAGGCCAAATCATTTTTATACAAGCTCTTAGCTATTCCTAGTCTAAGGCAATATTTCTAACCAGGCCCTTAAACTATAAATAGTTTAATGCAGAACACAAGAATCGATAATCCACCCTATGAGTCACGTGGATTACGTACCAACCGAACAGTGATCTGTCGGGTGGGTGATATCCGGTCTGGATCCCGTACGTACGTTTTAACCCCGAATTATAAATTGGTCAAGGAGGTATAT